TTTCACTGCTTTCATGTGTGTACAGTTTTTATGTCTATTTTTATGTAGCATCTGTAAAGTGAATATAGAAGAGAGTTCTGGGATCCTTGATAATCTCCAAATCCTGCTATCTTTAAAGACTTTGGAGGAGGAGATGATCTGTTGTCAGCTGTAGTTCTGTTTTAGCATAAAAGTATAACTAAGTTCTGGGGAATACAAAAAGGCATTGTGAAAGAATCGTGACCACACACACACACACACACTAAGCTGGACAAATGGTTATTTGTGGATAACCAATAGTTGAATCTGACCTTGAATTTTGTCACTCTATACAGAAAGCCCAGGTGAAGGGGGCCAGAAACTCCTCTCTTTGCAAGAGAAAAGCAAGAGGTTCATTTTGTAGATGTACTATGTTTTCATGCCTGTGAAGTTGGTGTAGCAGTTTGTGTTGAAATGTGTTCTATATTTTAAAAATATTTAGTGTTGCAGATTTTACATGAATTTTAAAAGAAGGAAAAATATGAAGAATGTTGCTGAAAAAAAGAATATACTGTAGTGGAAACTGGTGGGCAAGCCTGTTTTCAACTAGACAAAGAGGACACACTATCCTGGCTAATCTCCTTTTTTCAGGTTTCTCTAAGTTTACTTACAGCTGCCTTTACAAAAATAGACCTGGTGGTATCTTAAATGGGGATTATGGACTTCTGGATTTGGATTAAATGTTACTGAAGCAGCAAGCTGGAAAAAGCCAGCTACGTGGAACCACAGCCTGGTAGGTCTGAGCAAGACCCAGGAGGTTCAAAGTTCATTAGAGTGGAGGACTAGTTAGCTAGAAAGAAGTAGTGTCCATTCTTCATTCCCAAGCCTGCTGGCAAAAATGAATAAACATTATGACAAGTGAACCATTAAACACTGAGGTTGGGAAAGGCTGAACATAGAGTTTTACCCACTGCAATTTGGGCTTTCCTGCAGTTATTTTTCATCACTAGATCTTTCTCCCCTTCAACCTTCTCCTTTAGTTAAAGGGCACCTGTGTATTTAAGGATTCTGAGTGACTGCAAGGGGCAGTTATATTTGTAAAGTAATATTAAATTCCTACAAATTTTCTGTTTCCAGTTTATAGAGGAAAGCTCAATCTGAGCCATTATTTGACCCTGAGATGAGCTCAGTTGGTTGGAGTATGGTGCTAATAACACCAGGGTTGTGGGTTTGATCCCCCTATGGGCCATTCACTGAAGAGTTGGGCTTGATGACCCTTGTGGTTCCCTTCCCTTCCTCAGAATATTCTGTGATTCTGACTCTGTGATTCTGTGATTTATTGATATTAAATTCCAAAATATCACTGAATGAGACATTTTGTGAGAAAAATGACAGCAGGCAGGAGGATTACATGTGAAGGGAGAACTTGGGATCGGATGTACAAGCGTGCTGTAAATAAATATGTTAGTTAAAATGAGTGTTAAGGAAATAAATGACATATGGTTGAGAAATGTGGTAGCTACAGTAAACCTTCCATTCATTGACATGAAAGATGATGAGACATGATAACCTCATTCTGTGCCACATACTGAGCAGAAAATATACGGCTAAAATATAAAGAAATGGTAAATAAATAGCTGTTTTTATAAGTTACAGGGAAGGAATCACCTTATTATCTAATAGGACCCTGTACCAGAAGTTTCTGTTGGAAAGGACTGTGAATAGCAGTTTTCTAAAAGGTTCTTGAATGATACATACAGAATTTGATCTAGCCTTCTGCTTTCCTTCCTTGATAGCTTTCCCTCATGCTGTGCTCTTTCCAGCCCACTGCCTCCCCTTCCAAAACAAGTTATGATTTTTTCCTGTGTTAAGATTTATATGTATTAGGAAGAGAGAAATTATTTTACTGCTGTAGGAAACAAGCAGCTCCAGTCTGCATCTTTAAAAAACAACTGGTAGTATAGGGGATCAGAATGGGATGTTCTATTATCAGAATATTTTATGAAATGAAACATTGAGACGATTTTGCTAGAATGTGGTGGGTTTTTTTAAAGTAACACAACTAATGTTATCTTCTGGTAATGTCCTCTTTTGATACTTCGCAACAAGCTGGTTCAGTTCATTTGTTTGTATGTGAAAAGCAGAGTTCAGGGCACCATTGTGTTTCTAGCCAGTCAGTTCAAGATTAAAAAAAAGCTTTGGATTTTTCCTTCATAAAATTCAGAATGAAGACCAATTTTAAAGCTTTCCAGAAACACAACATGGCTCTGTTCATTCTTTACACAGCACTGCTAGATAGCCATCAGTATGTGACTTCAGGCAGAAGCAGCTTATTCTTCTAGTGCTTTGACTAGAGTTGTACTTAGTTGCTCACATACTGGAAATTTATGACAAAATCCCTACCTCATGTTTGGGGTTGGGGTTTTTTTGTTTGGTTTTTTTTGTTTTTTTGTTTTTTTGTTTTTTTTTTTTTTTTTTTTTTTTTTTGTTGTTGTTTGTTGGTGATTTTTTTTTAACCGACTCAGCCTTATGATAGTTCTTTGCTTGATTGCCGCTATTCTCAGGTAACGCACCACTGATCTAAGTTAGACAGACAAAACATATTCGTGTTTGAGGAGACACTGTCCTTTTTAATCTTGGACTGTTTTATGAAACAGGGTTTTTTAGTTGCTTTGGCTGCTTCAGTGTCTCAGTTACAATTGCAAAGTTGCAATTTCTCAATTTTATTCTGTTAGTGGGTTTTCTTCTTGTTTTCAGATCTATTTGCATTGAGAGGATTACATTAGTGAAAACTGTATTTTAGTCTGAACTGCAATGGCAATATTTAAAAAAGACTTTTAAGGAAAGGGCTGAAATTAAAACCCATGGTGCCTACTTCCTAGAAACAGTAGGTACCTCTGTATGACATTTCCACAGGTACCATTGCAGAGAAAACTGAACTCTAGACAAATCCTATACAAGATGCTTTGCACATCCCAAAGTTTTTGAAAGGAGACTCCTAATTAAACCTGCTTTAGACTTAGATTTTCCTGTGATATCTAACACAGTTTACTGATATCCTTTGGTTTTTATCTATCTGAGCTTGGACAAACAATTAAAGCCTGAGGTCAACATTTACAGTTTTCACATACCTGATCCTGTGGAACATAGCAAAATGTTTATGTGCTTTTTGACAAATTCAGATCTACCTTCGGGCCAATACAGCTATAGAAAAAGCCAAAAATGTCCAAGAAGGTTAGTTCTGTACTGCGATTCACCCATAATGACTATATAGGTGTTCCTTAGGGCTCTTGCAAAATTACTGTCACGGAGAAGCAAAGAGGAGAATTTGGGCCAGTATTTTTCCTGTCTCTTCAGAGAGAGGAAGAGGAAGAAGGGGGAGGAGGGAAGAAGTATTCTAGAGAGAGTTGTTCCTTGAATCTGGAGATATTATGTTTAAACATTTTGTATTCAAGGAAGGAAGAGAAGAGACATACATATCAGCACATTTATACAGCTGATTCCTGAAGACACTTTGTTTTAATGTAGTGGTATGATCAGTTCAATGGTCTGTGATTTTTCATTTCATTCATCACTTATACTGTGGAAGTTTCTGAAATGCTTCATTTAATTGTACTGAAGACATCAGTCATGATGTTGTAGTTAAAGTTGTAGGAGGCTTTCATTTTTAAACACCATTATAACTTTCAAAATAATTCCTTTTAAGCTGATGTTTAGTGTCAATCCAAGTGACTCATGTAATGAAGCTGGAGAAAATCACCTTAGCCATTTCTACTTTAGAGGAGTCTGGTGAGGGTTTACTGTTTTAAAAAGAACAGACGGTTTTTCATAGCTCTGAAATTGAGCCTCCACACATTTTGGTTGCAGGTATCTGTTATCTGGCCTCAAGAAAAACACAGAAAAATGGTTATGTAACTAAAGCGGCAATCTTGGCTTGTGATGACCCTGTGATCAGGGTCTATAGGCTTATTTTGTGGTTCTGGGCAGGCCACTTAAACTGCACCTAAAGTGACAGCCTGATATGCTCAGGGCAAATCCTGATATTTATGTTCCCTGATCACCCAGAGCAGAGGTCTCTGTAGCTCCATGTGTGTTTAGGCTCTCTCCTGCAAAAAGCAAGGGGCTCAGGAGGCCTGGGTCACGTGCCAGTGTGTAGCCAGGGAACAGCCAGAGCGCTTAGCTGGGTGCAGGGACTTGGCAGTTCTTTGTTTTGAACTGGACAACGCAGTACTGTTTTGGCAACCTCCTCCTCCTCCTGAGAACCATCTAAAGGCCTGACTCCATCCTGAGGAAGCCTCCAGGCTGCCTCAGCTGCATCCACATAGGCACCCTCCCTTGTGCAATGTGCATCAGTGGGTACTTCCGTACCCTTCCTCCTAGGGCTTGCTCTGGATTCAACGTTTTTTTACATGTACGTCCTGGGATCCACCGTGCTGACAATACAAAGGGGTCATCTGGGGTGTGTGTGTATGTGTATGGCTGCACAGACATGGAAGGAGAAGATGATACATTGGTCAAAATATAGACACAGAATCCTGTGGGCTACCAACCTACCTCATTGCTTACCTAAGGGATGTTTGTGCTGGTGTCTGACACAGTACAGAACTGAGAGAAATCACATTGCAATTTTCATTACAGCTTACTTGAATGCTTGCACGGAAGAGGGTGGTTCCAAGACTGAGGCATGTCTGGTGGTTGTCTCCTGGCACATCTCCTCTGGCCTGGCTGCAGCCAGCAGACTGGCCTGGAATCACGACTGCTCATCTTGGGACAACATCAGTCAGGACATGGGAAAGTGGGAGATCTGAGCTTTGTTAGTAAGTTGTGAGCATGAGAACTAAAACCCCTTCTGAAGACATTAAGGGGGAGAAAAAGTATGTTAGATGTGCTGCAGACTGACAAAAATCTGAAATCTTCATTGTCTTTTACAATACCCCTGGGTGTGAGGAACAAGAGGGTTAAGATGGGGGGAACACAAAAGGAAAATGAGGATTTTCCAGTTCCTATCTGCAAAACATATTCTTTTCCATTTCTCTGTTTTCTTTTGCTCAGGAACTACCTTTGTTTAACAGAGTAGGGATTTCATCTGAGCTGGTGTTTCAAGAAATCACGTCTTTGCTTAAAGTTATTCTCCCCCACAGCAGAGAGTAAGTCCCATGTAACACATTAAGCAATATTTCAAGCCAGGCCACATCCTTCCTCAGTAGCATTTGAACTATGTGCACTCACGCTCAAGGTTTCTGCTGCTCCTCAAGCTCACTGACAACACCACCTCCCTCCAGTCATGCCAAATCCTTCACTCAGATTCATTTTCCTTTTTCAGATTTAACCAGTTGTCCTCTAAAATACAAAAGGCCATGTGAGATAAAACTTCTTTTCCTAGCTTTCTTCCAACCTGAACTTTTTTCCTGCATGCTCAGTCTCTAGTGAACATTGCAGTACAACTAGACTGAAATAAATGAGAATGTGATTTCTCTTTAATTCTTTTTCTAGAGCAAAGCATTTCCTATCTTAGTCTCCAGATAGTATCAGAAGGTTGAGGTAGCTTCTCTGGCCCCTCAAAAAGGCATCTTGTAATAACTTAGTAAAATTAAATACTGCATCATACACATAAAGGTGAAAAAATAGTCACATAAGACAGTCATCGGTCTACAAGTAATTAGATATTTAGTTAGATATAACAGTTGACATGATGCAAATGCACTGCATTTGTTCCTATGAGTCTAAAATATTTTGGAATAATAAGAAGGGACTCAATGTGGAATAAGCCGAAATGTAAATTTTAATCAAAATAGTGTTTTCTGATATAAGTCACCTTACTGAATATAGCAACAAACTGCCATCTTTGAAAATGTTTTGCTTTTCCTTTTTCTCCTTGATTGATAAAATTACTTAACAAGTACTGTAAATCAGACCACAGGGTTTGAATCTCTAACAGTGTACAGGCCATCTCACAGGCCAACTGCACTTGTGAAGTAGTTTGTGTGTATACTATGATGAATTCCGTTAAGAATTTTTCAGTGAACTGAGATATTTCTTAAAAATCCTGAGAAGTTTTTCCCTAGGGAATATTCCTAAAATGCTCCTGATATGTATTGCAAATTATAGTTTACCCTATATTTTGATTATTATTTTCTATTTTGAAAGGAACAAAAAATTTAGGAAGAGCATTTTGACTCTCTTACTTCTTCAACAAAAAACCAGATCTACATTAATTAAAGGGAGTTTGCAAATCTGGGAAGGGGAGAGGTGGTGGTGGTGAAAGAGCAGAAATGGGTGGCGTGTCCCCAACAGAGTTATACATTTTCTTTTAGAAAAGCATGAAATTATTTTTTAATTTTCCCTCAACCTTCACAATGTTGAACAGTGTAAAGAAAAATAGATTCTTCTTATGTGTGACTTGCCCAGATTTACAGAGCTTTTGCAGTGTTACAGATTATCTATCAAGAAGTGGGGTGAGAAGCACTTTTGAGCTCTGTATATAATTAATCCTGTTGCACTCAGTAAGCAAACCACACTTGTATACAGAAAACTAGGGATGATGAAACACACAAAGTTGGAGTTCAGACATTTTGGAAAAACTTAAAAATAGGAAGTCTTCCATTGCATGTGCAACTTAATTCTAAATAATTCGTGCTCAAAACCTTTTAGTTTTCAAATGCATCCAGTTTCTAGGAGGCTGGTGAAGGATTGAATGGGCTAAAATGCACTTCCCTTCTTATGTCTCATACCTTTATGTCTTTGGAGAAAATAGACAAAAGGAAAATATACATATACTGTTTTCTTCAAAGGGATTTAATAAGAGCATTCAGTCTATAACATAGAATATTTATATGGGTAATTGCAAAATATTGGGTAGGAAATACATATTATTTAATATTTGGGCAGTGTTGCAAAGTAAACATCAACAACTGCATGTTGGGAACTTTTCTTCACAGGGTACAATTTGCAGAGGAAAAGAAAAGGCTACCAAACTGGTTTGTCAAGGATCTGAGAACAAGGCTGTGACAGGTGATAAATACTTTGACATATCAGTCATGCAGGGGGAAAACGAAAGGCAAAGGGTGAGGGCAGGTGAAAGAAATTTGCCAAAGTCTGAAAGGAAAGAACAATATGGTTTCAGAAATGGGATGTAAGACAGTAGAAGCTGAGTGGAAAGATGTTACACATCTCTTTCTGGCAATACGGTTGTTAGGTATTTCTTAGAATGAGAGCAGAAAACATCTCCCAGTCTATGGGATGGATATCTTAGATTGGTAGGCAAAAATGAAGAATGGAAAATACAGAGCTAACAGATAAATAGAAATAAGACGGCAAGAAAGTGAAATAAGAATGAGTGAAATAAAAGAATAAAAAATGAGCTAAAATAAATAAGAAAAATATGAAGCTGTAAAATTATACAATATGAGAGGAAGAAAGTCCATGAAAGTTCAGAGAAACTAAAATAACTGTAGGAGAGGAGAATCTTGTACTATGCAAATTACATTCCTTTAGAATGAATAGATATTTAATTTTGATTGACTTAATCATCAACGACTGCCAGGAAAGCCTACACTTCTTCAGTTCCATCACAATGATTTTTGACAAAAAGAAAAATCAAGTCAGAACATTTACTATGTAGAATAAATTAAATATGTACCCACTATAGCAATGGTAATAAATGTCATCCTATTATAAAAAGAATTTAAGAAAATACAATTAATTTAAAATCAGAAGGGGAATAATGGAAAGTGTTAACCTTACTGAAAACAAAACAAGTATTTCATTCTCATTCTTCCAAATATCAAAATTAAAGTATCACTGTTTCAACAATAAGAATACTTTTGAAACTATATGAAATGTGAAGCATAAGCATCTAAAAGAATAGATACCAAAACATAAATTTAAGATCTTTCACATCAGTGCATTCACCATCAACTGAGAAAGATGAAGAAGAGCTTTCCAGTACTTCTAGAAATGCAGTTAAGATGTGGAAGCTGGCCACTGTGCGAAGATTTTTTATAAACTGTGAACTAGTTCACAACATAGAAAAGATGCAACATTTAACTAGATTGAGAACAGAATTAGTCAGTCTTTTTCTCTCCACTGAGTAATGGTTTTATTTTGTTAGTTTTGCCATCTCTAACGTTAATATTTTATGTTTAGGTGTTAAAGTGACCCAATTCATATTCTAAAAGGTTTCATATATGCAATGAAATCAGTAACTTTGTTCACTTCTGGTAAGGAAGTGCCTCTGAAATATCCTCCTCTTCCAAGACAATGAACTGGCAGTCATCATGATGTGATTGTGAGGCCAGTCTGTATTGCAGAAAGGCAGGGATCAATACTGTTGTATAATAATTAGTGAGGTAATTGTCACATTATAGCACCATAGCTGTGCACTGTAATGCTCATGTCTCAGGACTTAGGTCTTTTCATGTTTCTATCCATTTGCTTCCATCTCAATTACTTAAATATGTGATGGGAATAGCATCTCCCTGATCAGTTTTTTTTTTTTTGTATGTCTTATTCTATTTAAAAACAAGTCCAAGGGACAGAGCTTCTTTTGCATTGTGTAAACACATCATCTTTGAAGAGAAGAGAACAATTTCTGTTGGGTGTTTTGACATAGCCATAACAGAAAGAATAGATTGTTTCAACCTGTTAAATTTACATTTGACTTACTGTTTAATGTATTGAAGTACAAGGAAAAAAATTATCTAGATCAATGACTATACTAGGAAGAATATTTCTAAATGCTGGATAGCTTTCAAGAATGGCATTTTGCTCTTACTCTCATGAAGTATCTCACAATCACAATGTAATTAATGTTGAACTGAATCAGACAGAAAAAAATTATGAAAGATTATGAGAGAATCATGATCTGAAGAAAAATAAGTAGATCAGCATTGTTCTTCAGAATAAATTATTATTGCAGGTAAATCAGCAGACAGGATTCTATTGCTGTGGGTTGGCAGAGAAAACAATACATGGAGACACGTATTGAAGATGGAAAGCTTCTGAACTAGAGAAAGAGGATAAAAGCACAGGAGTAAGCATTGTTGTGTCTCTGGAATAAAAGTTTTATGACTCTTAAAATACAAAAGTAGGAAGAACTGAAAGAACCCCAGGTTAAGCACAACTCCAAATCAAATGATAAGTGATAAGAGAACAATATGTTGCGATTCCTTGTAGAAATAGCTATAATACACATCTGTGTCATTTCCAGTACAATGTTTCTAGTTCTATTCCGTAGTAATCCAATTTGCTTCATAAAAGTTAAATCAGACAGTGAAAGACACTAATCTGATTCTGGAATCTGTTAGATCAAGTCAGTGAATTCCGAGAAAGAAACGTGGACTAATTAGAATGGAATTCTATCTGCCTATACCATACGTGGAGAGCAGAGACAACAGAATTACGTGTGTGATACAAAAGTCACATAAGTGATGTCAATGTCATGGTGCTTTCAATTTATTACTGAATTGGGCAGGAAGCTTCAGAACTATTTTCATGCTTCTAGCTGTTAGATTTTCTATTGCTCTGTGACTGCTCACAGTGAGAGACTAGTCCTTTTACTTTTTTTCTTTATCTTTTAGCCATATAATGGAAGGTAAGAAAGAAAGATTTTGGACATATGATCACAAATTGGACCATCTATTACTATTTTCTTTCTATTGTTGAAGTTAATGTAGCTGTAAAGTCTCAGTTTGCTTTCTGGATATTTCAAAAGGTGTGAGGACTAGACTCATCTCAAAGTTTCCAATGTAGTAATGAAAAATTCACCATTTTTACAACTTTCTGTTATGGCTACGTCAAAACACCTAACAGAAATTGTTCTCTTTTCACAGATGATGTGTTTACACAATGCAAGAGATGCTCTGTCCCTCAGACTTGCTTTTAAGTAAAATAAAGTATACAAACTGATCTGGGAAATGACATCATGCTTGATATATTAAGTGGGGGAAAGAAGGAGAAAAGGAGGGAATTTGGAGTGATGATTTGTCTTCCCAAAGAACTGCTGCCTGTGATGGGGCCCTGCTCTCCTGGACATGGCTGAACACATGTCTGCCCGTGGGAAGCAGTGAATTAATTCCTCGTGTTGCTTTGCTTCTGCATGCAGCTTTTGCTTTCCCTATTAAACTGTCTTTATCTTAATCCATGAGTTTTCCAGCTTTCACCCTTCCAATTCTCTACGTGATCTCACTGGTGGGGGAGTGAGTGAGGGGCTGCGTGGGGCTTGGCTGCTGGCTGGAGTTAAACCATGACAACCACAAAGAAAAGGAAATTAATTTTTCTACTGCTGAAAAAACAATCAGGTTCACACCACACACATACAGACAAAAAATTCATGCCTGGTTTACTTGAAATGCTGCAATGCCTGGTACTCCTGATTTTTACTTCCTGGAGGAAAAATTGATATCTTCTACATCTAGAGAATTACTAATCAATTCAGCCACAAATTGAGGTTATTAATATGCAGGTGTTGAGAGAGATCTTCCTGAAAGTTATTCTAGTAGATGATAAGTAGATGGCTATGTGAATTCACTCCACTGTTGGACAGATAAAGCAAACTACTTTTCACAATTTCCTAGATTAGAGAATGAAATAAATATATTCACAAGAAAAGAAACTGTACTGCAACCTTCATGTTTATAGTTACCTCTAGTGAGTCATGGTGGCAGTCCAGCTTCCAGTCTGATAATCACTGTGCAAGCTGTAAGGTACCAAGGTGCCACAGCCATCACAACGAGCAAATAACTAAGACAAATGAAGACGGGAAGAGGCAATACAAAGAATCACAGGGAGATAAATTATATAGCAATCTATTATCTGTATGTGTTACATCTTAATGCATACTGTAGCATTTAATATATAGAGCACACTGTAGTAAGAACTGCCTGTGCAATCTACAGTTCAAGTGACAATGGAGACTTTTTTTAGCCCTGTAGAATAAAATCTATTCTGTGTGGCCATTGTAATGCGTCAGTATCAGAAAAGCCAGAAAGAAAAAAACCCACAAACTGAATGATCTCAGGAGCAGTCCAATATAGTTATAATGGTTTTACATTAAATTGTCTGTAACAATTGCCTGTCATTATATGGTAACAATTCAGAGATATTGGGAAAGAATACTGGATTAGAGGGAGCCAGAATTTTATAAAGCAAAAGGAAAGAACTTGTTAATTTACCTTTTCCATTGTTGGTGTTCATTGTGTGAATGTGGCAAATGGCAATTTTATACAATAGCTGACAATAGTACCCCAACAAAGGAGGGAGTTCTTTACCCTCCCCCTCTCATGTTTGAACAGAGCTCCAGAAAGGATGGTGCAGGGGACTTTTGCCTCTCTGGAGTTGAATGACACTGCAGCAAAGGAACCAGTTTCCAATCCTCCTACAGGGAAGAAGAGACACTGAAGAAGTAATAAGAAACAAACCCAGAATGGGGATGTGCTCATGCATTTACACACATTTAAAAAGAAGTTTACTCTGTCCTTCACCATGTGCCATTTTTTTGGTCTATGCTGTCTGGTATTTGAGCAAGGGGCTGTTTTCCAGATTTCGGTGATGTAGCAGAAAAAAGGTTCTCATCATCTTTTTTTGTTGTATCTGTTAGACACTAGTCTAATAGCCAGATTCTTCCTTCTCACTGTTCTCACTCACCCAGCACCCTTGGAATAGCAGCAGGACGTGACTGCTGTATGTCTTGTGCCTCTTGTAGGGTTGCCCAACTGGTACAGCATCCTGCACCTCAGTGTTCTGCATACAGCATAAGGTAGTGCTGAATGAGAAATGCCATGACCAGTTTATAAGAAATATAAAGGCTGTTTCGTCTGTAGTACTGTGCTTTTGGGGAGTTACCTAGACACAGATCTCACTGTGCTGGGTGTAATATGCCCTGTCTGGCAGAACCATGTAGTCATGAAATTCAGAAAATAGCATTGCCCTTCTCATACAAATGAGAACTGAGGCACAGTTTCTTCACCAAGATCAAAATGAACATCTGTGGCGTGTAAGGGAAACAAATCTCAGAATAACAAGTCTGAGACATTTCTTTCATGTGGGGGATAGCTGAGATATATGAAATGGGCTTTTTAGGGACTTTGACTTCATTCTTTGCCAGCAACAAGACCTCAAGGTGTTACATATTCTCGAATATGTTAAGTTCAGCTGATTTGCCTTCAGGGTTTTTTTTTCAGGGTAGTAATTACAGATTAAGCATTACAAAGCATATTTTTACACTTATTTTGACACAATGTTTTTGAAGTTCATGAATCTATAAGTCCTGAACACTCTCCAGTATAGACAACACTAGTGATTTACATTATTTTGGAGTTGCAAATAATTTTTCAAGGGTAATGGATTTCATATAGAGAGATTAAAAGCTAACATTCCTTCATTTGTGCCTGGTGACTTCTTCTCCCCTATCATACTACATTTAGCAAAAAAAATAAGGCAGAAAGGATGCTGGTATATTTTTATGTTAATTAATATATTTTAATTTCAAATAGCATTTCTGAAGCTCAGGTAGACTCCAAAAAAATTGGTGCCAGGGCAAAACTAATGAATTTTAATTCTTTTCAGTATACTTATGCTTTCATGAATTCTTTTTGTTATATTCTGGTGTATGAGAATGCATCAGTAGGCACTCAGAGCATGCAGCCCACAGATCTGATTTTTACAGAAATCCAGCTTAACTTTTTTAGCTACATAATAAAGTGCACCTCAGAAGTGTGTTATTTTTAGTGACCAATTGGGTAATAGCTAGAAAAAAGCATACTTCAGACCAACTTTTAAAAGATTTTTTGAAAACAACAGATTGTAAACAGCAAGTAGTCTTTCTGCACAAAGGATGCATTTGCTGTTTTGTAGCTAAACTGTGTTATTCTTGGACAAATTTTAAGGGTGTACCACTCATCCCAGAAAGGCTGCACCTAATAAGTCACCCTTGCTGCTGTTAAATTGTTTAAAGCACTGTGATCTATCCCTTAGGTAGTTAAACTGCACTAACTCTGCTCTTCCATATCTTGGAGCACCTCGAAAAACTCTCGGCTCCTTGGGAGTGCAAATGGTTTTGGCCATGCTGCTGTAAAACAGAGAAGTCCATGATCTCTGCAGTTTGCCCACAGCTGCTGGAGCTGAGCAGTGACTATATTGTGATGCTGATGGTGAGGGGCACAAGAAGAAGCCTTGTTTAACATCATGGTCCATGGATTGCACTCCGTTAATCCCAGACAATTTTAATAAGAGTTCTTAGCTCCAGGCACAGATTCACTGGCAAAATACTGGCCTGCTGTAATTTACTTGTGCATCCTGTTGAGAGTAGGGCACATTAAACTGGTCTGTCCTTTGTGCAACACTCATCATAACAGCAATATAAAATCAATGACATTGTTGAGAAGAATTGTTGTTACTCATCAGAATGATGCTTCTTTTTACTTCCATAACTGTAGCATACCTGGGTGCTTGTGCAAAGCAAGAGCACCGGCCATAATTTACTGCATTGCAGTAAAATCAACAATGCAGCATTCCCCAGAGCCAGACAAATCTCATATTTGATTTGCTAAGTGAATAGAGAGAGAAAACATGCTCCCCAAAAATATTTTTAATCCCATTATTATATTTCTTGTTTGTAACCCTCCAGAACCCTCACTGTCTGAGTAAACACTGGTAACTCTTGGAACCAAAACATTATTCTGAAACCTGATTTGAAACCATTTCTTTTACAAGTAACAAAGTGAATCACACTGATTTTCTCGAAATTCTTCCTTTTGGAAGAAGTAAAAAAGAACAATTTGAGAAGTTAATGGTAACTCACTGGTAAGTTTCAACTGAGCAGAAACAAATTTGAAACTAAAAATGTTAGATGTAAAAAAAAAGCATCTGATTTCATCCAAGAGAGGAAACTCTCTGTAGTTTAGAGTAAATTCAAACTTAGGATATTATTATCCAGCTATATAGAGCCATAATCATATTTTTTTAATTAGAAAATTATTCATAGTTTAAGATACTGCAGAATAGGAAATATAGATATTTACAACAGACTAATTTTTTTTCCTATGAAAAAATTGACACATTAAAAATATTTTTCTTGTCTGTAAAATTGTGTTTTCTTCCCCAGGTCTTCTTGAACTGTGATAGATTTTCATTTTGTTTGGTAGAAGTTTGGACACTGAATAAATATAGTTTCTTTCT